AGTGTCAGAGAAAAACACCCACACATTCCATCGGACTATCAGTGGATGAACACCGATCACCAGAGGAGAACTTGACCTCACTCCTCCACATACTACAGTTGGAAAACAAGGGAGGAGCCAAAGGGATGAGCTCTTCTGTCACCAAGAGAAAAGGGGCCCAGCAGACCCTCCATCTCCCTCTCTAAAACGCCTGCCCTCTTCTACAACTTGACTCCAGGCCATGCTGGGGCTATTTGACTTGAGAGACAAAGGAATGGGGGCACTGTCACGACCACATCCTCAGCCATGGCATCCTTTCTCTAAGTTGTTGAAAACACTGGAGGATACGCTCCACCAAAGTAAAAAAGGAGGAAGTCAGGAGCAAAGCGAAGTCCTAGAAGGCTGGTCAGAGAGCCTGGAGACCAGGCTGCTCAGCAAGCCCTGACAGAGCAGAACGGGCTTCTCAGAAAGACTGTCTCCAGGGAAACAAAGGATTGACAGGTTAACGGATGCCCCTGGCCTTCAGGAAGATCCTACTGACAGGTTATTAGATGGTATGGGAAAAACTAACAGTACCAAGAAAACTAAACAAATGAAAGTAAAACAAGGAAATCACTAGCTCTAGAAAAAAAGTAACAAAGGAAAAACAAAAAAGAAAGTCAGAAGTTTACATAATAGTAAACCACAACACTCAGGCATGAATAATGTTTGCATAGAAATAATAATGTGAGCACTGAATATTGATCTAACTAAAATGTAAAATATAACCATACTGGAAGGATAGTCATGGAAAGAAAGCACTGGCATAGGAAGTCAGTAGATAATGCCTAAAATCAATGAATTAAAAGGTACTAGTGTACATGCATTTAAACGTGCAGAGATGCAAGAAAAAACAGCTTAAAATTTAAGGTAGTTACCTAGGGGAAGAGAGACTGAGGGTAGTGGGGGGAGGGGGGTGGAACATAAAATGACTGTATTTGGACCATAGGCTTTTTAATGCTAATTGACTTTTTAAACTATAAGCATGTGTCACTTGATAAAATAAAAGTTAACAATGAAAGGATAGGAGGTAAAGAAATGGAGTTATCACATATTGATGCAAAAAGAAGAAAAAAACATGTATAGACCAATATTTCAAGAAGCTTGGCGGCAAAAGGAATTGGAGATCCTGAGATGATGAGGAGTTAAGACAAGGTTTTGTTTGTTTTAACATGGGAGAGGGTGGCAAATGCTGACCAAAAAAAATAATAAATAAATAAATAAATAAAATTAAATTCAACAGGAAGGTCAAGTTAGAAATGCTGGAGAGAGAGAGACAAGTACTAGAGGAGAGAACTGAGTGTGGATTGGGATGGGATTCAAAGCCTTTGGCAGTAGGTGGAAGGAACATCCTCCATTCACACCTGAGGAAAGTGAGAGAGTTGTTTGGCAGAGTAAGGTAGGTGTGTAGGGTTTGTGGTCAGAAGATGAGGGTACAAAGGATGACTAAGAGCATTTCCTAAGAGTGAGAGGACTGGCTTAGGAGGGTTGTGAGGTGGCTGTTTGGAGCCTCTCTCCCAAGTACCTTTCCTCCCATTCCAGGGCCTCCAGTACCCATTGCTCAGCGAGTTCTCCCAGAGTCCAGGAAAACAGGCAGGAGTGGGAATTGGTCTCTCCCAGAGCCTTAACCAAACTGTGGCTAGAGACAGAAGCAAGACAGCAAAGAACCAAGCCCAAGAGACCAAGATGGGAAAATGGAGTGAGACACAGCCATGTAGACCGTGTGACAGAAGAAAGGAGTAAAGCCACTTACTGAGAAGGCCCTCAAGTCTGCCTCCCCTAGAAGGCTCCAGGTCTGGAGATCACAGGGCCAGGGACTGAGAGTCACACCTAAAGGAAGTAGAAACGATATGCAAAGGAACCAATTTTAATTGGAGGGTAGAGGCAGGAAATGAAATGAAGCCTCTCTCCCTGTTAACTCTGTCCTGGCTGTGGGCAGAACTGACAACTGGTATAATAGAGTTCCAAAAAGGGAAGAGGTGGAGACAAAAGAAACAGAGACCAAGGGTGGAAACAGTCAGAGAAGAGATACAAAGAGGTACAGGAGAGAAATGAGCAGACAAAACAAAGTCAAAGAGAGAAACAGAGACAGATAGATGAAGCGAGCTGATGGGTATCTCTCTCTCTCTCTCTCTCTCTCTCTCTCTCTCTCTCTCTCTCACACACACACACACACACACACACACACACACACATTTATACACTCACTCTATAATAAGGTTCAGCCTGCCTGCATCCCTCAGCATCCTGGATATACGAGTATGCACTCCCTTGTCCTGGCCAGTCAGCATCCCTAGGAAGACAATGCCAATGATCACTCTCATTCTGCCCCTGAGCTATGTGGCTGGAGAAAAATACAAAAGCTGACCAGATCCTTGAGGTCTCCAGGCTCAGCTGGGTCCTCCCATAATTGATCAATGCCTTTGATGGCTCAGTCTCAGCCATTCTTCCAAATACTGCCCATTGCTCCAAGGCTGAACCCCATCCATGCATTGCCATTCTCAGCAGATCACCTTGCCTCCACTTCCCTGGGAAAAACATCACTTGACAAGAGCTCCTGCAACTCCCTTCTCTCTCCAGTTGAAAGTGTCTCTGATTCTTCATCCATCCTTTTTCTCCTTACCTATCAGAGAGAAAGGTCTTTAGACCATAGATATAAAGGCAAAGTCCTGGGTGAAGAGGTGTCCACACCCAACTCAAATCAACATATGAATAGGCGGTTCCAAGGTTGTATATGGTTAGTTCTGGGCAGCAACACCTCTTCATGGGGGATGGTTCACTCCTCTGAATTTCTCCCCAAGGACCGATCTCAGGGCACCACCCTGAGCTAAGGCAGACCTCCATGTGGCATCCATAAAGGAGGCCATACCCCAGGGCAGCCTCTCCAACATGTCCCTCATCCTGCCCAAGACCATCCCTCTCATCCAGGCTTCTCCATTTGGGTCCCCCTTCCTGCTTTGTTTTATTAGAAAGCTTCCCTTGCTCAAACTTGTATAGTCAATCTTTCTCTCTCCTCGAGATTCTTACTCTTAGTTTAAAATATTCTTAAAGCTCTTCTAGCCTAAACTGTCCCCCTTTCTGCAGCTACTGCCTTAAATGCCTCTTTTCCTTCGCAGCCATTTCCTTGAGAGAGTAGCCAGCACTCAGTGCCATCAATTCAAACTGATCGTTCTCTCATCCCTGAATTCTGGTTTCCAAGCCCACCCCACCCTCAATTTCACTGACAGTGCTCTACTCCTAAAGATCCAGGTCATCAAACCCAAGAGTCATTTTTCAATCCTCTGATAAGCTGTTCACCTGTGTTTGAGGGAATTAAAAACATATATATATATATATGTCTACCAGAGCACTGACAGGAGTAGGATTTTGTGAATTTTAATTATAGGAGGTAAGTCCAAGGAGAAAGCAGTTCTTGGACATAAGAATTGGGGCTAAGAAGCCCAAAATCACCCACCCACCTTGACAGCTGGATGCTGGGACTTGACCTAATTAAGGGAGTTGATAGGTTTCCTGACAGGCAGCTGTTATCACCCCCATTAGACACAAGGAAACTGAGGCTCAGAAAAAATTATAGATTGCCCAGAAACACAGTGAGTTAGGATCAGAGCTCCTTCCATCACAAGATAATGATAATAGCTACCAAATAATAATAATAATAATAATAATAATAATAATAATAATAATACATCTCAATAGTGATCCATCCAAAAATGAACTTGGGATCTTTTCCCAAAAACCTGCTGCACTTGTCCTTTTCACTATCTCAATTATTGACAACTTCTTCATACTAGTTGCTCAGCACAAAAAAAAAAAAACTGGAGTCATCCTTGACTTTCTCTTTCACACCTCACATACAATTTCTCAGAAAATCCTGTTTTTTGTCTCTACCTTTAAAATATACCTGTAATCTGCCCACTTCTCACCACTTGCACTGCTACTGGTTTGGTGCCAACCACCATCACCTCTCACTTAGATTAATTGGTAATTTCCTACCATGTCTCTGCTCTTTCACCTCCCTCTCCCCAGGAACCGCACCCCCTATTGTATTTTTCTCAAAGCAGCCATAGTGATCCTTTTAAAACTAAGACAGATCGTGACCCTCCCCTGGCTCAAAACTTGGCAACGGTTCCCCATCTCATTCAGACTAAAAATGAAAGTCCTTACTTTAACGATCTGCTCTTCAACCCCTATTTAGAGGCCCATTTTCTGATGCTCCTGGCCTCGATCTTAACACTCCAGCTGCCAAGTAGCCTCCTCAAAACACCAGGCCCACTCCTGCCTTCAGCCCTTTGCACTAGCTGTTCCCTCTGCCTGGAGACTCTTTTCCCCTCACACCCCATAATGGCCAGCTCATTGGCCTTTTTCAAGCCCACTCAAATCTCACGTTCTAATTGTGATCTACCCTAACTCCTCACAACTCCTGATTACCCTTTACTCTCTGCTACTTTTTCCTTTTTCTTGGAACTTGCTACCTTCTAACATCACATAATATACTTATTTGTCTCTCCCCACTTGACTGTAAACTTTTCAAGGACAACGATCTTTGTTTTGTTCACTGATAAATTCCTTTAAAAAGCGTTCTGGCACATATTTCATTTGTTTAATGAATAAACTACCGTACTGACACCTAACGACGCTGTCAATAACAAAGCCCTTTATACTAAGGCACTTTGACAGCATTATCCCATTGAAGTCTGAAAACACGATTTGTGACACTTGTGCAGCTTTCCGGCTCCATCTGGCGGCAACTATGCAGACTGAGCCGCTTCTCTTCTCCCAGCGCGGTCCCAAGTTTATTCGGAACCATTTAGCTCGGTCTCACTGAGTGCGCCTCCGACCGAGATCAAAGAGCACAAACTCAGAGCAGGAAATTGTAGGGCCGTGAGAAGCATCATCAGTAACCAATGGGCACAAAAGATCTTGTTCACGTGGTGCATATGCAGCCTATGGTGCTCCTAATGTTTCCAAGCTCCGTCCTTTCCACTTCACGCTCTTTCTCTCTCGACAAGATGGCCTCACCGGCGGTACCGGCGACCGCTCCTGCCGCCTCTCCAGCCCCAGCCACGGCTGCAGCCCCAGCCTCAGCCCCGGCCCCGGCCCCAACCTCAGCTCCAGCGCCGGCTCCGGCTCCAGCGCCGGTTCCAGCGCCAAGTCCAGCTCCATCCTCATCCCCAGACCCGGCAGCAGCAGCGTCTGTGACGGCGGCTCCGGGCCAGACCCTTGCCTCGCCGCCAGCCGCAGCGCAGACCCCGGCGCAGTCGCTGGCTAGTCCTGCTCTCCCAGGCCCCTTCCCCGGCGGCCGTGTGGTCCGATTGCACCCTGTCATTTTGGCCTCCATCGTGGACAGCTACGAGCGACGCAACGAGGGCGCTGCCCGAGTTATCGGGACCCTGCTGGGTGAGTGAGTGGTCAGAGAAAATTGACGTTTTCTTCTACCTCCCACCTCCTCTTAATCTGACGCCCCTTTCTTCCCATCTGCTTTGATCTCTTACCTGTTTCTCCATTGGACCTTCCGTCTCTGACTTATCTTCCCACGGAACTTGAACTTTCTTGCCTGATTGCTGTCATTTTGTGCAACATAATATACGTTATAAGGAGTAGTTAGTATTAAGTAAACATCGTGTGCCGAGTCATTTTCATTTTAATCTTCCCAGTAGCATTTCACATCAAGTATGATTAGCCCCAGTCTACCAAAAATGAGTTCAAACGCCGACTAGGTAAGTCAAAAACCCTTGACTCCCCAGTGACCACGTTTTTTCCCCCGTATCTGCTTAAATGTGCTAATTTTCTAGGTGTTTGCAAAGAAGTTCCTAACCAGTTGGCAAAGGGAACATCTGTTAAAAGATATCCCTCTCAACAAGTAAACTGATTTGGCAGGAACTCATTTAGGATTTCAGTGATAATCTGCTTAACTAGATGTGTAAGCCTGATTGCTGTTCCTCAGTCTCCCTAATGGGGTAGACCCTGTTCCCCCAGCGCTGTCTCTGATTCTCCATTTGGACACAAACAATTGTATTATGTATTTATGATACAGCTTAACCTTCAAATCGAAGAATAACCTTTCTCCTACCCATGTTCCAAATTTGGGGAGATAGATATTTTACGTTAAAAGTAATTTGTAAAACCGAGAAGCACTAAAGAGGAATTACTGGTAATCTATCCCTTTCTCTGGGTTCTGCTGGTCCCATCAAATTTATTTTCACTCCATCTAAGTCACAAATTTTAGACACCTTTGTGAATCCACTCCAATTGTATGCATCGTTTCTCTTTCTTACTCTTGAACATGTAATAGCCCTTCTACCATAGAAGACAATTGGTGTATTGCAAAAGGGACCCAATTTGTAGACAAACTCCATCAAATATCTGCCTTGTGCTTTGGGACAAATTACCCAAAGTCTAGTTCCTTCTGGGGCTACTTCAGACTTAGTCTTTGTGAAAACTTATTACAGAAACCACCTAACTGCTGACCCACATTAGGTATGAAACTGGCGGCACACAGTTGTCATCCTGCACCACATCAGGCCTATACCACCCTCTTTATTTCAGAGAGTAGCATTTTGTGTTATTAATCCATTATTTTCCAAACTTTGTAATGGTTTTTCTCAAACCAAGCCTTTGTATTCTCTTTGCCACAAGTGCCTTCCCTGCTCTCACTTGTTCATTCACGTTCCACTCATCTTCCAGGAAAAGTGCTCAGTATCGGTCCTTCGTCCCATACGCCCACCTCGCCCCCATTCTTAACCTCAAGTATGGTAGGTAGCATATGACTGCCCTGCTTTGAGCTTCTGTAGTAAATGATTTTTGCTTTACTAACTTGGCACTCGACAAATACTCTTTCAGCTGCACTGTCAAATTTCCCAAACTCACTGGTGCTGTTCAACTAAAGAAACAATTCTCCACCCAGGGTTTGTGCTCAGTGCCCCAAATAGTACTAGAGTCCTAGTTAGATCAGCTGTAGTCTAGATCTTCATATCCGACCAGACAGGGGTCAGGTGTTACAGAGGCGGTGCTTACTGAAGAGTGAAGCATGGATTCTGCTTCATGGATTCTACACATTTTCTCAGTTAGACATTACTTCATGGAAAACATTTCATTTGGCCAAATGAAGTCACTGGTGCTTTATGTACCATAAAACTGTTAGGTACTAGAATTCAGAGTTTGATAAAATGAGCTCTGCTCTAACCCTACGTTGAAGTTGAAGATACACTCTTGTATGCAAATAATTAGAGTATAATGTGATAAATGCTGTAATAGAAGGGTGTCATCGTGACATGGAAAATATAGAAGACTTAGCTATTTCAGAAGCTGGACGTGGTCAAGTCTTTTGGATGTTGATGAGAGGTCAAATAAGATAAAGAATGTGTATCCATTGGGTTCAGGGACATAGTTTCAGCTAAGGAGGCAGCAACAGTAGTAAAATGGAACTAAACACTAATGAGTATAGGCAACATCGTGGTCTGTGGTGGAGAGGGATGGGAGATGTCAGTAGATTAGAGAAAAATAGAGAAGTCGAGGGATTAGCGGTCTTAGTGGGGTCAGGAAACAAATGTGGGTAGTGGGAATAAAGTTACCAGAACTATAATAGAAGTTTGTGGTGAAAGACTGACACTGATGAAGTTTCACAGGTAGAAGGTTGCTGGATGATGATATGGTTAAGGTTATGACCATGGGACCAGATGGCTGAAGGGAGGTACAGGTGAAGCTCCCTAAACTGTGTTCTCTGAGATTAGGCTACTGTTGTAGGAGTGGTCTATGGAGGCATAATTAAAATCTTCCAGGTAGCTGCAGACTAAATTATAGGGAGAAAGTGTAGAGGCTGAAAAATGGAGGTCACCGTGTAAAGGTCTGGGGTAGGTCGGACTGCTAGCAGGAAGTAATGGGCAAAAGAAGGGTGACGTGGTGAAGGGAGAATAGGCCCCACTTGATGGTTAAAGGAAGGCGGTGGCGGTCACTCCAGGGTTTTAGTTCTCCGGAGAATCCGGGTCCCACTGATGCACATGGCTGAACTTGGAGCTAATGAGTTCAGTTTTTTGTTCATGGACTTGAAGGAGGCCTGAAAATCTGAAAGCATTTGGAAAGTGGTCAGGGGCTGCTGGGAGCTTTTGGGTTACATAACACGTGGACAATTCTCTCTCACAGGAACTGTTGACAAGCACTCAGTGGAAGTCACCAATTGCTTTTCAGTGCCACACAATGAATCAGAAGATGAGGTGAGTGGGGATTGGAGCCGGCCCTGTGCAGTCCAGCTGTTCTTTTGCTAGGCTTCCCTTAGGGCCCCCCCGCAAAGCATGTTGTGCTCATAACTAGAGCTTCTCTAATTCAAAGAGCTTTGTTCTATTTATGCATACTTCACAGGCCTCTTCTGTCTGTTGGGGTGGCCTCGCATCCTTTTTATCCGTTTTCTGACTTCTGAGCTGCCTTTCCTGCCTCCTTAGGTGGCTGTTGACATGGAATTTGCCAAGAACATGTATGAATTACACAAGAAAGTCTCTCCAAATGAGCTCATCCTGGGCTGGTGAGTTGGGGGCAGTGGGGGGTGGGCAGGCTCAGTGATTGCCACGCCTTTTGCCACCAGGCTAGGTGTTGTGCTCCCTCTCTGGGGACAGTGTTGAAGGCGTGTTACCTCAAAGAGCTATGAATTCACTGTTTTTCAGGCAGTTCTGATCCTGTGACACCAAGAATATTGCTTTTGAATTATAGCTTTTACTGAGCAAGCCTTGCTGGTGCCTTGGAGTTTTTCAAGATTTCTAAGTCAGCTTTTGATTTGATTTTATAGCGTTTTCAGTGTGTTTCTTTAGTATTTGGGGTGTGACTGGGTATCACTACCATAGGGCTGCCAGGTACCTAGAGACACCCATGCCACTATCATGTTTAGTATTGATGTCACGTGTAGACTTGAGACTACAACAATGTTCCATTTTCCAGGTACGCTACAGGCCATGACATCACAGAGCACTCTGTGCTGATCCATGAGTACTACAGCCGGGAAGCCCCCAACCCCATCCACCTCACCGTGGACACGAGCCTTCAGAACGGCCGCATGAGCATCAAGGCCTATGTCAGGTGACCAGAGTCCCGGGCCATGAGGGCGTAAAAAGCCTGGAAATTTCCACTCACTGATCCTCGTTGTACCCCACTTTTCTACTCATTGCTCTTAACCAATTTCAACTGAGCAAGCTATGATGTTGTTTGTGTCCTGTCTTCTAGAAGTTTACTCTGCCTGCTCCCTACAGCCGATCCTCACCTGGTGTTCTGGCCGTGAGCCTTCACCGTGTTCACTGCTATTTCGAGTTACCCTTTAGTTTGTCCTTACGCCTGGGCTAAGCACAGGACTCGGAGTCATGCAGATTAAAGCGTGGCTGTCCTTAGTTTGAACATATCTATTAACCCAGAATTAAGTCGTTTTGATGACCATAACAGTGCAGTATTGACACTGAGTCTGCAAGCAGTTAAAATGCCGGCTCCAAAAAAATAAAATGCTGGCTGATGGGGAATGTCGAAAAAGGCTCTAGTGGCATGCTGAAGGGGTCTGCTGTAGGAGTTGGAAGGATTCTATTTCCTGTTTAGAATGAAGGCAGTTTTTAATTTCTACGCTGTTTAATTGTGCTCTTTCTGTGTCGGACACATAAAACTAACCTGTTAACCATTATGCAGTAAGACAAAGATGGTGAATTTCCAAGTCCTCATGGCCAGCTGGTATACCACTTAGCTCTAGCCATTGCCTGATTTCTTAACCTTTCCAGATAGATCAGACTCCTCAAGATTCAGTTAGGAGTGTATAGTTGACATAGGAAAGGCCGCCACCTTTAGTGACAGCACCCAATCTAACCTTGGTGGGTTGGAGTCCGTTTGCTTTTTAGTGCAGACAAAGGGCTTGGGCCCAGAAAAGACCTGTCCTTTCTCTTCTTTCTGCGGGGGTGGATGTCTGGGCAGCCAGCTCCACAGGGAAACCCCATGGCTTGTCCTCTCATCACTGAGATTGCACAGTGTGTGAAGCCTTCCTCTGAATGGACCAGGCCAGGCCTAAAAGCTGAGTCACCTCTTCCAGGCCAAGGTTTGGTGTGTGGAATGAGCCAAGGGAAGAAAGTGACTTGTCCCATGAGACCTCTGGGGCTCAAGCCTTCTTATATCAGAACCTTGGAAGCCATACTCTTGGTATAACTGCTTTCCCAGCCCAGTCCTTCTCAAGGCCATTGGTTTACCTGGACTTCTCTCTCTCTCTCCAGCACTCTAATGGGCGTCCCTGGCAGGACCATGGGGGTGATGTTCACACCCCTGACAGTGAAATACGCGTATTACGACACTGAGCGCATTGGAGGTGAGTGACCTTCCCATGTCCTCTTTCAAGGTCTTGGGCATTTTTCATGGGAGGGGGCTGCTCTCTAACAAGGATGGAAGGCTTGGGTGGGCTAAACAGGAACCAGCGATCTAAGGTTTGTGATAACTAGAAGTTACAGTCATTCTCCTACATAACTGGAATTCAAGGAATTATGTGTGGAATTGTTCAGGGTGGGATATTTTCAGCACTACAGGCTTTCTGGCCATTCATATGAGACCAAAACCAGTGATGAGCATACTGGGTGCAGGAGTTGAGCTCTGTCAGGAGAAAGTAAAGCTAATAAGGACAGAACAGGGGCATTTGGGGAAGTTGGCTGAGTCCAGAGGGAGGCGGGAGAATTTGATTGGTTGGGGATCATCTCTTTGCTCATGGGATGACTGAATCCTCTGTCTCTTATTCCCCCAACCCACTCGCGCAGTGGACCTGATCATGAAGACCTGTTTTAGCCCCAACCGGGTGATTGGACTGTCGAGTGACTTGCAGCAAGTAGCAGGGTCCTCGGCGCGCATCCAGGACGCCCTCAGCACTGTGTTGCAGTACGCAGAAGATGTGCTGGTGAGGAGGGGAAGGAAACGAAAGGAGGGCCTAGTTCTTCATGCTGGGGTCGCTGAGAGAGAGGCTGGTGAGATGCCAGCCCTCTGTGGGGAGAGTTAACTGCCTCATTCCATCTTTCTTTGGCGCGCAGTCAGGAAAGGTGTCAGCTGACAATACCGTGGGCCGCTTCTTGATGAGTCTGGTTAACCAAGTACCCAAGATAGTTCCCGATGACTTCGAGACCATGCTCAACAGCAACATCAATGTGAGTGCCTTTTCTGGGCTTCTGGGGGCCTGTGCCTTCCCCTACCTCAGCACGTACACACAGATGTGCTGGGAATACGGGGAGATGGTCTGGAAGGGGTCAGAGGAGACTAGGCTTTGCACGTGCTCGGAGATTCCCTTCTTCCTTAATCCCATTGGCTCACGTACTGCTGATACTGGGACTTATTGTCTAGATTCATGGTTGAAAGAAATGCTTCAATTCAGAAGTTAATGAAAATGCAGTTTCTTATTTTCCCCATCTGAGTTCACAGACCCCCTATAATTCTACCCATGGAGCTCAACTCAAGCTCCCCTAATCTATAAGTGTATCAGTAGAGATGAGGAAGTGTTCTCAAGCATTCCCTTCCTGTCTTCCACCTTCATCTCTTACTCAACCTCTCCCAGCTGTCGTTTATCCGGGACTGTCCTCTCCCCCAGAGCAGCCCGAGACGAGCCTTTCTGCTCCCCTTCCACCCAACTCCACTCATCGTGGCTTCTTTCTCTTCCAGGACCTGCTGATGGTGACCTACCTGGCCAATCTTACACAGTCACAGATTGCGCTCAATGAGAAGCTTGTAAACCTGTGAATGGGCCCCAAGCAGTACGCCTGCCATTCTGGGCCCAGCCCTAGGACTCAGAATGGAGTGAAGTAGAAATGGCTTCTTGTGGTTTGAGTCACACTGAGTCAGTCAACTGCTTGTGACTCTAAATAAACATAGCCTAACTTTTGTAAATGAATTCCATCTTACGTGAGTTTACTGCCGGGTGGAAAGGAGAAAACTAGTCTGGAGCCCATGCAGAAACCAAGAAATAAGTGCTCTGGGTAGAAGTTGGCTGTGTGTTTGACATGACTTGTCATCAGTAGTTGCACCCACAGCCCAAGCCACTTTGGCCTCATCTGACCCCAGACTAGATCGCCTCCTTGGCCGACTGGTTCACAGGGGCTCTTTCTCCCCACCCTTTTTACTTCTGCTCAGAGCAAACTGGACCTCCCAAGAAATTGTTCTTTATCACTTCTCTTTCACAGCCCTTATATGGATGCAGTATGGGTTGCCTTATGCACAGTTTGAAGTACTTAGAGAATATGCTAGTGAGTGAGGGGAAAGGAGAGAAGGGCGTGGATACACAGCTCAGTCCTGGGACCCATGAGTCCTGGTAGAAAGGCAGCCTTCTCCACGGTGAGAATTAACAGTGCTTTACTGAATTTTTTCTCTTGGTTTTCAGCCTGGAAAGGTGTCCACTGACAGTATTGTGAACCATTTCTTAATGGGTTATGTGGTTTCCGCAGGAAATGGAAATGAGAATCCATGCAGGGAAAAATTGAGAGAATTGGATACTTAATCTCAACTGAGAGTAGCGGTGTGATCAATGTTTTATTTATTTATTTATTTTTTAGCTGAGCCATCCTGCCACCTGTTGGCAGCTCAGCTCAGGCATCGAACCACTGTTGCTCAGAGCTCAAACTCTTGAGCGAGCTCTTAACCAACTGAGCTGGCCCTTGATTAAGGTTTTAAAATGCTTGGATAATAGGATAAAGCTCTTTGCCACTGTGGTTCAGGGAGGCAGAATTAGAATCTCTAGGTTAAGTTTTTCCCCATTTTAGTGGGGAAAACAAAAGGAAATGATCAATTGCAAAACACTAGAAATGAGTGTGGGGTCTAATATTTAATGAGCACCTACTATGTTTGGGGACAGTTTATAATTTTTATATTACAGAGGGAGCTGGGGTTTAGTTGAGCACATTACTTGAGGTTACACAATTAGTAAGTGATGAAACAGGATTTGAATCCAGGTCTGGATTTTATTTTCATGTGTGGTCCTCTGCTTCACAGTTTAGTGGCCCAGTTAAATAATAGGGCAAAACTAAAACGGTAACAGGAGCACATCATAAGGATTGACCAGCTCTGTCAGAGGGAGTCGGAAGGTTCTGCCAGGACATGGTAGCTTATGTTTGCGGGGGTTGGTTTATTTTATTTTGTTAGCCAGGAAATCAGGAAAGGGTAATTGAGCAGAAGAAACATGTAAAAAAGCAGTGAGGGCCGGCCGAGTGGCACGATGGTTAAGAGCTGGCTTGGGACGCCAGAGGGCCCCGGTTCAGATCCCACATATGAGGGCCAGGGACACTGCCCTCTACAAATAAAACAAAACAAAACAGTGAAATGTAAAAAAGCTTAACCTGTTCAGAACCGAAGGAGTCATACGCCAGACCATAAGGGCCCCTCGGCCTGTGGAGGTTGGCTTTTTATCCTGGAAGTTGTGAGAAGTCCCTGGATAATTGTAAGATTTCATCAGTTGGATTTCAGGAAAGTCACCTAGTGGTGTAGAGGAAGGATGGAAAGGAAGAGAAATGGAAGGCAGGGAGCCGAGTCAGGGCCACTGTGATTGTTCAGAGGAGAGACGATGAGTGCCCAAACCAGTGCAGTGGCAGTGGGGAGGGGCAGACCCAGCTTCACGAGGATGCCTTACGGCAGGCTCAGGAGGACTGGGACACTGGTGAGAGATGCGATGTGTCCAGGGTATTGCCTGTTTCTGATAAAGGTGATTGAAGGAATGGTGGATATGGAAACCGACTACTATGAAGTGGTGGAGGCTTAGAGGATGCAGAGAGGTGTGACCAGATTAAGGTTAGGGGAGTAGTGTGGGACCAAATGGTAAGTTTCAGATGCAACAGAAGACCTGTGACTTCTTAAACTAGGGGGCTGCACCACATCTTTTGGGGAAAGGCTGAAGAATTCGAGTATCCATTCGCTCCTGTAATGCTTAACTAAATGCCAAACAACATGCTAAGCAAAAAGCCATGGTGCGTGCTTAGAATAGACTAGGGAGGACTGATAGGTAAAGAAGTCATTACTTAGGGAATCACGGGTATTGGAGGTTATGGAAGGCACCTAGTTAGGAAGTGAAATCTAAGCTGGACCTGGAAGAGGAAGAGACAGACTGAAAAGGGAGGAAAACAGAGCACTAGGCACAAAAAATAGTAAGTGCCAAGTCCCAGAGAAAGATGCAACCAAGTGGCCCCATCGGCGCTACTGGCTCAGATGTTTGTAAGGATGGCTGGATATTTTTATTTTAGTTTTTGCAGGCTTGGCTTACGTGTGCACAAGTTTTGACTGTGAATGTTTTCCTACATTGTCTTTGTTATGTGGTTGTACATATGCTAAAAACATTCTAGACCATGACTGGGTGAGACTTGTGTTGCTTCAGTTCTGACACCACACTCCCCGATTTTCTCCAGCCGCCTTAACCACTCCTTGTCAGTGGCTTTTCTTGGTCCTGGGTCCTCTTCACTTTTTCCTCTGCACCCTCTGACTGGAAGATCTCACTGAAGCCTGTGACAGCTACTACCTGTGTGTTAAAGGATGCCCAATCTCTAGCTCTAGCTCTGGCCCACATTCCTAGCTGGTTTCCTGATTCCAGCCTTGTTAAACAGACACAGGATATCTCATTTGCATGTCTCAAAAGCATCTTAAATTCAACTTGTGTATTGAACTGATTGTCTCTTCCTCCCACACAAATCACCTCCTGAATTTCCTTCCTCAGGTGATGACAACTGTGTACCCAGTTGTCCAAACCAGCAACGTTGGGTGAATGAATCCTTGATTCTCCCCTCCCTTTCCACCATCATGTGTCAACTAGTTTATTACAACTCTGCCTTCAGCCTTGCCTTCTATGATAAGAAATATACCGGGGGTGCCAAAAAAATATACCCATGACTTGCATTTATCTTTTTGTTATTGATGTATATTGAGTATTACAATTTTAATACAGTTTTTACCTTGCTTAAAATGTGTATACCTTTTTTTGCACCCTTTGTGTATTGTCTTCATCCATGGTCCTGGCAAGCAGCTCTTAAAACCTTTGGAACTTCCTAAGTGATAAGAGCTATAAAAATGTAAAGAGAGTCCTGTTAAAGATGTAAACAAGCCCCTTTGAACTACTGAGTTGATGCTAATGAAGTGATTTTTGGAAAGCCTCCTGGCAACCACAGGAATGGGGGCTGTTTGCCAGGTGAACTGACCATGTGATTGGAGGCTGAAGGTTGACTTAATTACCAATAGCCAGTGATTTAATCAACTATGCATATATAATGAAACTTGCATAAAAACCCAAAGGACAGACTTTGGAGAGCTGCTGGGTTGGTGAATAAGAATACATTCAGGAACAAGGAGATGTCAGGAAGGCGGCACACCCCAAACTCTGACAAGCTCCTGTGCTCCATACCCTTGCAGGCCTCACTGTGTGCCTCTGCATCTGGCTGTTCATTCGTATTCTTTGTAATAAATCAGTGGTAAGTAAACTTTTCCTTAGCTCTGTGAAGTGCTCCAGAAATTAAACCCAAGGAGGAGGTCAGGGGCAGCTCCGATTTATAGCTGGTTGGTCAGAAGCACAGTTGACAACCTGGACTTGGCGACTGGCATCTAAAGAGGTTGGGGTGGGAGAGGCAGTCTTGTGGGACAGCCCTTAACCTTGGGATCTGACGCTATCTCCAGGTAGATAGTGTCAGTGGTGAGTTAAATTGTAGGACACCCTGCTGGTGTCTTGAGAATTGCATGGTGGGAAAATCACCAGCACATCTGGTCGCAGAGGTGTTTGATGTGAGTAGTAAGGGCAGAGGAAAACAGTTTTCCTGTTCACCCACTTCGATCCACTCTCACAACAGCCACACTGCTCTTTGTAAATCTGACCAGGACTTAACCGCAGATGAAATCTTTTCAGAGGTATCCCATTGGCCAGGATGAAGTCCACGCTTGTGACCGCGATCTGTGGCTCATACCTTGCCTGACTTCAGCTCCATGTCTTTCACTCCATGTGGGCTCCCCTTTGCACTTGCCCTGCCCTCTGCAGAATCTGTGCCCCTTTAGCTGGCGTACTCATCCTTTAGGTTTTAGGCTAAATGCTGCCTCCTCTTAGGAGGTGCTCCTATACCGTGATCCCATGACATTCTCCTATCTTAGTACTTCTATCACCATTTTGAACTTGCCTATCAGCACAAGCTCTGTGAGGGCGAAGGCTGTCGTCAGGATCCTCTGGAGAGGGGCTGGCGGGAGGGAGCACACCAGACATAGGTTATGTGTTTCACTCCTATAATATTCAGTGATGCTTAGTGTGCATCGAATACAGTGTTGGGCACGGTGATAACAGCAGCTGTTGAAGTGTGCTTTCTGCCCTCTATGGGTTTCAATGTTATGGAGGAAATGCACAGAAATAATTAGGAGGAGCGATTGCTATAAAAATTAGGAAGGAGTCTTGGGAAGACACAGGACATGCTTATTATAAATCTGCCTCAGGGTCAGAGAAAGGAATTCAATCTTGAAAGACATTGGGATTGACGGGGCACAAAACAGGAGGAAGAATTGGAAGAAAGGAATAAAGATCAAAATACTACTTAGTATTACAATGGCCTGTATAGAGAGTTGTGTTTCCAAGGAGACAGCAGGTTAGAGGTAAAAACAGGGTTGCAGCAACAGCCACAACACAGTATTTCTCGTTCCCTGGGAACACCTGCTTCCTCAGATCCTACTAAAAGTAGTCGGGTGTCTCAAGTTCTCTGAACCTGGAGTCAATTTTGTATTTTGAAGTTTTAACTGAATTTTCATAAAATAATCATTTTCTGCGCCTCTGTAACACAAGTCCTGACAGGGCTAACAAAATTCCAGTTGTCCCCTTTTCCTCCAGTGATGTCTCCCAGAGGGCAAGCAGGTGCATTTCGGGATCTAGGCTGTGATTAGGCCTGTTTTTTCTGTGACGGTCTGCCTGATCGTCATGATCTATCTTCTGTCCAATTGGGATTGCCAGCCCTGTGCTTATGTTTCTGCCCCAGAATGATGGTCCTTAGACTTACAGCCATCTCTGCCTCCAAGTGTTGGTCCTTCTGTCCATGGCAATGGAACCGTAGTCCCAGGAGCAGCATTGCTCTCTACGCCCGAGGTTTCCCGAAGTGGCCACTAGAGGGCGCCCTTGCACCACTTGAAGGCTGCTGGTTGCTCATTCATGTTCCTGTAGTTCCTGAGCAGTTTTCTGCAGGCCTGGTCCAGAAAAAGCACCTTCAGCTTTGGAGAGGCCAGGACAGTGCAGAATGAGTGACCACAGCTAGAGATGCTTCCTTGACCATCTGCTACCATAAGCCATAGTGATGATAACAAAGCATCTTCCTCTAGACGCACTCCAAAATCACTCCAAATAAACATAATCCATTTGAAAATGTGGTCTGGAAATAGTTTGAAGTAAATCTCCTAGGGCCCACTCCCCTTCCAATAAGATTGTAGTCTACAATCCTTCTACACAAAAATCCTGGAGCTGCTATTTCCCAGGAGAGACCTTGGCCTGTGCCCTGATGAGCAAAATGAAATTTCTGGGCTTTCCACCCGGGGAAGGGGTGGTGCCAGAGCTAGTATGTAGTCCTGGGGCGCCTCTCCACATGGTACTAGAGTTTTTGGCAGGTGAGTGAGGGGTACTCACCAAACTGGAGGTTAGAAGGAGGTGGTACAAGACAGGATCACGTCCAGTCCCAGGTAAGACTTCAGCTGATTGGGGGTGCAAGAGATAGGTTAAGATAAAGGTTAGCTGAGAATAGAAACCCTAGAAATTCAGCGGGAGTGGGAGCATACTTAGTTGGATCCCTTGAAAGCACAACATGTGACAAGGACTTGCGGGGACGTAGTTTATGTGTAAGGCTATCTGAATTAGATTCCTAGGATTGCTGTAAAAAGTACCACAAATTTGGTGGCTTACAACAACAAATTTATCTCACAGTTCTGGAGACTAGAAGTCTGAAATCAAAGTGTATTCTAAGTACTGGGAACACAGCACTATATATCAGCTGGTAGCTTAATGCATGAACTACATCCTGGAGGACAGTGACCCAGCCCAGAGTTTCATTCCCAAGCTGACGCCTTAGCTGAACCTTTAATAGGCCGTTCCCACTTTCTACCCTTTGTTTCCAGGTCATGAAGTACATGGTAAGACCTTGTTTTGCAAAACCATTGTCAGACATCCTTTACCATAAAATAGACCCTTCAGCTGAGACTTGACTATGTAGGACCTCAGGATGATAATTACAGTGTATAAGCCTTTGGAAAAGCACTACAAACATAGCAGATAAATCCATATTCAGCAAAGGTGTCAGTTTAGATAAGAGCACACTGCTGCCCTATCCAGAATGGAAGGAGTCTGATGTAATCAACTTGCCACCTAGTGCTGGGGCTGTCTCCTCAAGGAATGACACTATACATGAGGATCCAGCCTCTGCGACTGCAGGTTGAGCAGACTCTGAAATGAGTACTTACAAGTGATTTGTTAAGGAAGTGCCTCAGTAGTGTGATCGTAAAGAACAACTGGCTCTCCAGAAAGAAAATTTTAAAAGACTTGATTCATAGCATTTGCCAGTTTCCATGAATACTCCATGGTGACTTGGCCAAAAAGCTACTGACATGACATTTCCGAACATGGAATTGGAAAGAGGCTAACAATCGGCTCTTCACACCAGCCAGCTCCAGCACACCACTGAAATGCTGCTACAGGAGACAAGGAGAGGAGTGGATGCAGGAGGATAAGAAATAGGAGGAAATGAAGCGAGAGTGTGATCCCAGACAAAGTCCCAAACTAAAGTCAGCCTGATCCTATAGGGAGACCCAAGTACATGTCACACCCAAGGCAAGGATGCTGCATTTTCATATTCCTGCACCTGCCAGGTGTTAGGCAAGGGCCATCCAGGGTGGAAGTAAACTCCTAGGTTCCTACTGCTCTTTGTGTGGGTGAGCGAAGTGGTTCCAGCAGTGTGAAGGCAGTCCTCGGAAGAAGAGGTGCAGGTGTTGGGTTTTAGAAGCAAAAGTACATCAAAGCTGTTGGTGAACATGGAAGGTGGGCAGGACACACGTAAGATCAATAAAAAGGGATCCAAAGGACCTGAGTGAAGCATCAATGTTGTCCACAAGACCATCTCATACCCAGGCCATCACCATAGCCAGGCTTCAGGGGTGAGTGCAGCAAGTGTATTAGGCCTGCTCCAGGGGCCCTTGCCAGAACATTCAATCCTGAGTCACAGCAGGGTGCTCCCAGGTCAATAAGCTCTCCCCTATCTAACCTTATATTCCACTCTCCTCAGCCCACTCCCACCTGAACATCTGAAGACTGGCTCCTACGCTTGTTCTCCCTGTTCCAACTACTACATTGTATTAGACATGCTTCAACCAGACAAGCAGAACCCTCTCTCCAATAGAGGACAAAGTCCTTTGTCTATCTTCGGGTGATGTGCATTTCTCTTCTCGCCAAGTCACACTCCCCTTTTGATGCAATGTAGCTTCAATACTGAGATGCAAGTTTACTATTTACACATCTTGTATTAAGTGGCAACGGAATGCGAGAGTAGAAGGAAAAATATTGCTTATTATAGACACAAACATTTATATCAGGGGAGGAAGAGCTCTTTCTACCGGCCAAGGAAGCTCAGCATAATATAGGGTTCAAGGCCCCCAACGTCATCAAAATGTGCTCATGTGTCATCCCAATTTTCAGGGCTGTCCTCAGCTCCCATGACTTCTGCTCCTTCAGAGCGTCTGGGATGTAGCTTTCCTACAGCTTTCAGCCCTTGCTCAGGACACCTGGTCTTGAGCTCCTTATTTGTACTCCTAGGTAGTATGTCAGGATTTGGAGGTGGGGGTCTGGGAGCTCTGTACACCTGTTATTGGCTCTTCTAGCTATAGAATCCTTGTCTTATACTAACTACCGGGTTCCCTGGTGAGTGAGGCAGAATATGTACTTATTACCTCTGCCTCCAGTGAGCTCACCAAGGCAGGCTGCAGGGGCCTGGCAGCCAGCGCCCAGTGTCAGTCTCAAGAGGTCTCTGAGACCGCTGGTGCTGAGCTAGCACGGGTTGGAGTGGGGCGAGGCTGCTGGAGCAGGACCTGTCTTCTTGAGGGAGTCCTTTCTTAGGTCCTATTGCGCTTCCATCAGTCCTTTGGAGAAAGGACATCCTTGGAGGCTTGTCTTATATGGATCAGGAGCAGTGGCTTCTGGTTCTGTGGTGTCTGTGGGAGGTGCCACAAATTCCACACATTGTCCAGATAGGGAAGTTCACCCCTCACCCCTACCCAAGCAATGAAGCAAGGCTTCACACCCTTGCAACAAGTTGATTTTGGAGTCCTAATCTATCACTGAGGTCATGGCCATGCCAAGAGTCTCACCATCAAGACATGGTTCAGGAACAGGAGTTCTGTATGGGAGTCAGTGCACGCCTGCCAGCCTGTAAGTCCCCCAAGGGAGCAACAAGCGTCTGCTTGTTATCTACAGCATTCTGCTGAGGACTTGGCCCTTGATTAATACTAGTTAATGATACATTTGGGCAGCTCTGAAGGCCATGGAAAAACCAGCGTTTACAGAGATGACTGTATTCCACATGGCAAACTCCAAAGCTATTGAGACCAGCAAGTTACGTAAGTGAGAGCTGGGGCCTGAGGCCTGCAGGAGAACACAAGCTCCCTGGGAGGAGAGCAGCCACTTCTCTGCTCTGTGCCTGCCATGCTGAAGGAAGGCCCAGGGGTGCCAGATTTTCTGTTTTCAAGAGAGGACAAAAAAACTGGATCTATTAAATCTTCCGATTTTTAAGTGTCAACTTAGTCAATGAAAAGAAAAAAACCAAAAAAATTGGCAGGACACGGAAAAACACTTGTGGGCTGGATGCAACAAGTGTGCTGCCAGTTGCAAGCCCTGTAACCAAGGGTTAACAGGCAAGCCTAGTTTCACTGGAGTTGTCCCTGATCCTTGGATTAATGTAGCTCAACCCCAAGGCCCTGCACACCACCTCCAGAGGACGTAGGCGCCTCCTCCCACCCCTGTCCCGGCGTGTTACCGCAGCCTCGCCACAACAATTGCACCGAAAGGTCCTTCTTAGGCTTCCATGACCTCTGCAAGGAGATTATACCTGTAAATCCCCGAAGACTGCAGCCCAGGCTGGGGGAAGGGAAAGGGAAAGAGAGGCGGAGCGCCCGGGTCTCCCTCCCAAACTCCCCCACCCAGCAGACTCGGTTCGGCTTCGCCTTCCCGTGGGTCACCCTCAGCCTGGTGTAGACACGACGCTCTCTGCTAGTTGAGCCAACACAGCTCGATTTAATGAAGGGAAAGCACAGAGGAAAATAAAAACAGAAATGAATGGTCTAGAAATACGAACGTTTACAGAGCTTGGTTCTGGGAACTCACCGGAGCAACAACATGCTAAAGAGAGGGGCCAAGGGAATCCAGCGGCGAAGGAGAGAGGGAGAAGTGGATTGTCACTCGGGTGACGAGGGGGCTGAGTCCCGACAGTTTTAGGAAAGGGGGACTCCAGGGGTTAAAGGACTTTCATGCCGGGAGGGTGGGGAGGAGGGGAAATCTTCGAAATTCCGGTGATGGGTATTCCCATTACTGAGAAGGGGGCCAACTGACAGTGGAAGGTTGGAGGGGGTGAATGGATGAAGACACCCCCCTTCACTACGGAAAGGAGGGGGGCATCTCTGCAGAGGGGGGCCTGAATACGAGGAGTGTATCCGGGACTGCGGGAGAAGCGACAGCCTCTTAGCAGTCCTTGTCCCGGGAAGGTTTGAAAGCGCGGTACCCTAGTGACGCCGGAAAAGATGGAGCAGTTGCCATGGCGACGTGGAGCACACATCACAAATAAATAAATAAATAAGCAGTCCAGGCTGCAGCAGCCGCGCCCCCGCGGGACTCAACGCGGGGGAGGGGGCCCCTCGGGCCCGGGTCCCTGCAGCCCGCGCGTCCCAGCCATTGGCAGAGCCGGGGGGAGGGGGGTCACTCTCCCCCCCCCCGGGGGGGGGGAATGGTACAGTCCTCCGCCCGCGCCCTGGCCGGGCCCGCAGCGAGCAAACGCCGAGCCCCGCGCAGCCTCCGCTGCCGCCCGTGGTCCCAGGAGCGGAGCAGGGAGGCGGCGATGGAGGGAGTGAGCAGCCACCGGACCCTGTCCTACAGCCGCTGGAGCTACGACAGGTAGGGAGGGCTAGCGCCTGGAGGATGGGCTCCGCCGGGCCCCTCCGGTGGCCTTGCGTGGACGCCAGTTGCCACTCGCATTACCGCAGGAGAAGCCGGCGTTCCGGGGGTTGACCGTGGGCGTGAGCACCCGGATCTCCAGGGTAGACTCAGATTCTCGAGTATCCGGTACAGAGAGCCTCGGATATCCGAAATTCGAGCGGAGCGAGGGTGTCCTCACACCTACGGGGCAGAGCTGTCGGAGGGGGGCACCGCAGCACTGGGTGGCGAGCTGCCACCCACCTCCCACCCCACCCCCAACCTGCTGCGCCGCGGCGTCGGTGGGCGCTGGAGCCGCGCGGAAGAGTGCTGCGGAGCGGCGGGGGCACGTGGGGCGAGGAGGGGCGCCCCTCTGCTCCAGACCCGCTACTCTCGACACTGCCTCGCGGGTCTGCGCCGGGCGGGGAGTGGGTTGGCCCCGGAAAGAGTGCGCCCGGCCCGCCGCGCGGGGTTGGAGTGCGGCTGCGGGCTTGGGCGGTTTGGAGCCGCGCTGCCCACGCACTGGTCTTGGAGGAAGGAATTATCATCCTTCCTGGTGAAGTGAGAAAAATAAGGACAACGGACTGAGTTGGTCATAAAGCTGAGTAGATCTATTCGGAGATTTTGTCCTTTCTACCCTGTTTTTGGTGCATTAAATGCCATCCCCCTTTTACAAATGAAACCGTGATAATAGACAGTAGGTTTTTGTTGTTGTTTTTAAAGTTAGCAACCCCATGTCGATCTCCAGAGTTAAACGTTCTGATCCCCGGTCCTAAACGGTGAGGGCTGGAAGAGAAATTTCATGAACCCGGCTGCTCTCACCTGCATGAAGACCTCCTTCCTGCCACTCTCTTTCCCTTCACTTTGCTCAAAACCCTCCTGTATCTCTGACAATCCTTGCTTTCCAAGATGCAGAGGAACAGGTGTTCCTCCCACCCCCAGCTAATTCCCCTTGGATCCCTCCTTACCCTCCCATTGATCCCATCCTCACCTCCCACTCATTACAGGCGCTCGCTCCTCAGCCTGTAAACCGACTCCAGTTTGTCCTGTCTCCCTCCTCAAGATGGGTGCAACTGGGCCCCCTCTTTCTTTGCTTTCATTGCCTTCTTTGAGGGAACCTGATTCTGTTTCCTCATCAACCTGTCATTGCACAACCCTAGCAATCTGGTTGCTGTCACCTCACAATCCTAGTGACCTTTTGAAAAGCGGTGCTCTCTATGGAGAGGAACTCTAAAATGATTGGAACATTAAGCTTAAAATAACAAAACCTTTATGCTTGTATTCTGATCCCAAATCACATTCATTCACTTACTGACAAAGTACTTAGAGTGCAAAGGATGTGCTGAGCCTTGGAGATAAGGAGATAAAAAGACATAATTCCTTCCCCTAGATGAGCCCACAGTCTAGATTCTAGTAGAAATAATATAGAAATAGTATGCCAAAGGTCTAATACATATATAGGAAGAAATTTCTAAATTGAGATCATTCTGCTTAGTACCTAAACTTTTTCCCCTGTAAAAACAAACAAATAAAAGCAGCTATTAATAGTTAACAGTCACTTCCCAACCCTGTTCTCTGGCTTCTGCCCCCACATCTTTGAAGCTGGGAAACCTCTCTCCTTCAGGTCCCCCTCGAAGTTGACCTCTGTGTCTCTCCATTCTCAGGGAACCACTGACTTGATTTGTTGGCATTTTCTAGAATTTTATATAGGTGGAGTCATTCAATATGTACTCCTTTTTGGTCTGGCTTCTTTCACGCAGCAGTTATTTTTTATAGTCTTCCATGTTACATGAATTGGTAGTTCATTTCTTTTTATTGCTGAGGAGTAATATTTCATTATATGGAAATACCACCATGCAACAATTTTATCCATTCACCTGTTTGTGGACACTTGGGTTGTTTCCACTTTGGGACTATTGCGAATAAAGCTTTGTGACTTTGTGTACAAATCTTTGTAAGGACATATGTTTTTATTCTCTTGGGTAAATACATAGGAGTGGACTGGCTAGATCCTATGGTAGGTGTACATTTAACGTTTTAAGAAACAGTGTAACTTTTCAAAAGTAGTTGTACCATTTTACATTCCCAAGAGCCGCATTGAGAGTTCCAATTCCTCTACATCCTTCAGACAACTTGGTATGGCCAGTCTTCTTAATTTCAGCTTTCTAATAAGCATGTAGTGGAATATCATTGTGATTTTAATTTGCCTTTCCCTAATGACTAATGATATTGAGCATCTTTTCATGTGCTTATTTGCCATCTATATCTCTTCTTTGGGGAAGTATCTATAAAAACGTTTTTCCCATTTTTTTTATTGAGTTGTTTCCTTATTCTTAAGTTTTCAGAGTTCTTTGTATATTCTGGATACGTGTCCTTTATGATTTGTGACTTGCAAATATTTTCTCCAAATCTTTGCCTTTCTTTTCATTCTTTTACATATTTTGAAGAGCAGAAGTTTTTACATTTTATGCAGTCTAATTTATCAATTTGTTCTTTTATGAATTGTGCTTCTGGTTTCATAGCTAAGAAATCATTGCCTAACTCGAAGTGACAAAGGTTTTCTCCTAGGAATTTTCTAATTTTAGGTTTAACATTTTAGGTCTATGCTCTGTTTTTATTTGACTTTTGTATATGGTATGAGTTTCATTTTTAAAAAAGATATCCAGTAGTTCAAGCACCATTTGTTGAGAGGACTTGGCTGTTTTTGCACCTTTATTGAAAATCAGTTGTCCTTATATGTAATTTATTTCTATACTCGGTATTCTGCTCCACTGATTTACGTGTCTTTCTTGACACCAATACCGTAATATCTTGATTACTATCGCTTTGTAATAAGTCTTGCTATCAGGCTGTTCAGGACTTTCAACTTTCTATTTTCAAACCAGAATACCCATTTATTACTCCCCAGTTGTGAAGATCCTTTTCTAGTTATTATACTGTTTGTGGCCCTACCCAGGGCTCATGGTCAGCCCAGAATGAAGCTACTTGGCAAGTAAACCCAAAAGGTTGCATGGTGAGTGTGGGGTCAAAACAAGAGAGAAGGGATGTTTTGGAGAGGCTCCTTCACCCAGTCCCTGGAGAAGCCAGGATGTTCTTCTTTTTCAATGGTTTTTTTGGTTGTTGTGTTTTTTTGGCTATTTGAGTTTTTTTTCAATTTCACATTAATTTTAAATAAGATTTTCCAGTTCTAAAAAAAAAGGCTTCTGGAATTTTGATTAGGATTGTGTTGAATCTAGATCAATTTGAGGAGAGTTGACTCTTAACATTAGGCCTTCCAACTCACATTTTGTAGTTTTAAGTGGAAGTTTTCCACCTCTTTTGTAAGATTTTTTTTCCCCAAGTATTGCATTCTTTTGAATAATATTGTAAATGGTATTTTAAAATTTTCATTGTCCAATTGTATATAACTAGTGCAGAGCAATACAGTTGGGGAAGGGGAGAGGTTGTGGTAAAATGTATATAGCATAGAATTAGCCATGTCAATGATTTCTAAGTGTACAATTCAGTGACATCAATTACATTCACAATGTTGTGTTACCATCACTACTATATATTTCCAAAACTTTCATCACCCCAAACAACAACTCTGTACTCATTAAGAAGTAACTCCTTATTCATGCCTCTCCCCAGCTCCTTGTGACTTTTAATTTACTCTCTGCCTTTATCATTTCCCTAGAGTCTGTATATAAGTGGAATCATACAGTATTTCTCCTTTCATGCCTGGCTTATTTCACATAGCATACAGTTTTCAAGGTGGATCCGTGTGGTAGCCTGTATGAGAACTTTATTCCTTTTTTGACTGAATAATATTTCATTGTATGCATATATCACACTTTGTTTATCCAAAATGTGGGTGATGGACATTTGGGTTGTTTCTACCGTTTGGCTATTATGAAAATGCTATAATGAACAGTGATGTGCAAATATCTGTTCCAGTCCTTGTTTTCCATTTTTGGGGAGTTATATACCAACGAGTGGATTTCCTGGATTATATGGTAATTCTGTTTAGCTTTTTGAGGAACCACCAAACGGTTTTCCATGGAGACTACACCATTTTACATTCCCACAGCAATGTATGAATGTTCTCATTTCTCTACATCCTCACTAACACCTGTTATTTTCTGTTTCTAAAATATTATTATTATAGACATCCTAGGATATGTGAAATGGTTTCTCATTGTGGTTTCTATTTGCATTTCCCTAATGACTAATGATGTTGAGTATCTTTTCATGTGGTTATTGGCCATTCATATATATCTTCTTTGGATAAATGTCTATTCAAATCCTTTGCCCATCTGTTTTGTTTGTTTTTCTCATCAACTTTTGATTATCATGTAACCTACATATGAAAAAAATGCTTAAGTCACGAGTGAAGAGCTTGCTGAATCAGAAGCCCTTCTAGCCACTGCCCCTGACGTAAGCGTTACCACCATCCTGACTTCCAATAGGCTGACTTCTAACAGCAGAGATTAGTTTTGCTGATTTTTAACTTAATTTAAGAGTACCAGATGTACTCTTTTTTGTCTTCCTTTTTCAGCTCAATAGTAGATTCATCCGTGTTTTTGCATGCAGTTTGTTCCCATTGCTATGTAGTATTCTACTGTATGAATTTACCGCCATCATCTATTCCTAATGTGATGAACACTTGGGATGATTCCAGATTTTGGCTATTATTAATAGTGGACATTTTAATGTATGTCCTTTCACTGATATTATTATTATTATTATTATTATTAGTTTGATTTTTTTCCTCAGCTTTATTGAGGTGTAATTGAGGTGTAACTGAATATATTTCAGGTGTAAAACTTGATATTTTTATATATGTGTGCGTTATGTACCATTGAGTCAGTTCCTTATGCCAGTACCTCACTGTTTTTATTGCTGCAGCTTTGTAACAAGTTTTGAATAGGAGAGAAGGACAAGGAAGCAAGATATGACCTGTAGTAAACATGTCTAGGGAGGGATAGAACTCCCTATGGACTGGGTCGCTGAGATGGCGCCAAGGGGCAGCACAGAGAGCTTGAGCTTTGGTATTAGACAGACCTGGGTTGAACCCCAGCTCCACCTCTTACTAGCTGTGCAAATATAGCACAGAAAAGGGAAAATCTTTATTGTTTTGGCTGATTATAAAAGTCATATGCGCCATTTGTAAAAGAAACAAAGGGCAAATAGTCTAGAAGTGTATCAAGTACTTAATATCCTTTAGCCTTAGTTTCCCCGTCTGTAAAATGGAGGTGATGGTTTTCTTATGGTGAAGGGTGAGAATTGAATGAGATAATGTTTGTGTACCCTTTCCGGTGAGCTGTGAATTGGCAAACATACCACACACATACCTGCTATAGGATTAGGAAAAGTGAAGTTCCTAATTTAATTGACCTGGAGCTTATTGGAGACAAGGGGACCACGGTGGCCAGGAGTCTCTACAGCATATCTTGGCTTAACTTTCTTCTGGCCTCTTAGTTCCCAAACAGGGCACGCAGTTGCTGGTGATACTCTCTGCACAGGTAGGTTTCTTGTCAGGTTGAGAAAGTAGCCAAATTCTTATTGTAAAGGTAGCCCTTCTGTACTAAGGCCTACTTGTCATTCCAAGAGAACCGGACACTAACAAAATATGTGCTTCTATTTTCAAAACTTAGGTTCTCCTGATTCTTGAACCTAACTTGATGCCAGCAAAGCCACATCTTTTTGGCCAGAGTGGGGCTGGAGTGGGAGGGGAAGCCAAAATGAGTGTCTAGATGCTACCGAACCATAGCTCTGGCTTATGCTTTCTAGCATTCCAGAAAATTGTTCCTTATTCCTTCAGAGTATTCAAATCTCTTGCACAGCACATGTATGACCTTGGAGAAACTACTGAACTGCTGTGAGCCTCCTTCTTCATCTTTAAAATGGACATAATAATATACGTAGCTCATAGAGTTGTTGTGAGGATTAAATGTGTGAATATATGTAAAGCTTAATAAATGTAGAGTGCTTGGGATAGTATCTGGTGTATACCATGTTTTCCCAAAAATAAGACCTAACTGGAAAATAAGCCCTAGCATGATTTTCAGGTGCTTGTAATATAAGCCCCACCCCAAAATACGCCCCAGTTAAGATCATCAGCCAGACATGACTATGTTTGAATAAATGTAGATTTTTGCGCATGAATAAATGAATAAAATGCATCTTTTGGAGCAAAAAATAATATAAGATAATATAAGACCCAGTCTTATTTTCGGGGAAACACGGTAGTAAGTGCTATTTAATTGTTAGCTGTTGTTATTACCTGGCCCAGAGCAGGGATCCTCCACTTAATATCAGGACTTTTGTGTCCAATTGAATCTGAAAGGCCATTCCTAGATACAGAGATCGGTGTGGTGACCCATCAGGCCCTGCCCCAGGGTACCAGGAGCACTGAGAGGAGAGTAGGCAGGAAAGCGGGGAAGGCCAAGGTGGGTAAGGACTGCACCTAAGGAGGCAATCCAGGGATTGAAGAGGCATAACTAATAAAGACCTGGCAGGAACAAGTTGGGACCGTCTGGGTGAGAGGGCACAGTTACATGACTTCCAGGCCAGGGTCAGATGGGCGGTCTGGAGCTGGGGACTTTAGCCAGTGCCTGAGGCATGGGTGACAAGGTTTAGCTTCCCCAAGAGGGACTGGGCCTTTAGCCCCAGCTGAGAATTCGTAAGTAGATCAGGACAGTGAAACAGAACCCCGTCCTAGGACCTACCTGTGCCACAGCTGATGAGACCACCACAGAGGGGTCTGTAGGGATGAGCCAGCTAACTCCAGTCCCGACTGCTGGCAGATCAGAATCAGTAGAGAAGCTGGCAGGGCCTGGGCAGCAGTGGGAAGGCCAAGCCTGGAGGTAGCCAGGCCGACCACCGTGGCAGGTGGGTTCACTACCATCTTATTCCAAGATGAGGAGATGATGCTTTTACTGTCTGTACACTGGGTTTCATGAAGTCAGAAATGTATTGGGAAGAGCACAGCGAAGGGAGTCAGGAGTCCAGGATTTCATTCCGGCTGCCTCATTAATTTCCATTCTGGACCTGGGCAACCCACTGGCTCTCTGGGCATGTTTCCCCTGAAGTTGAAGGAGCTGACTGGTTCACCGAGCGCTCTTGTAGTTCTGGGCTTCTATGACTGCATGACCTATGGCCTCCGTGTGTGTTCTGTGATTGGAAAGGCCAGGGTGGGGAGATGAGAACAAGGCAGGCTGGGATTGGAGGCCCTGGCCATGGCAGTGCCAGCTTAGGGGCTGCGGGCATGGACAGCTGGGGTGACCACCAGAGCGGGGTGATTAGAGGCCCTGCTTTGTTCTCGAGCTTTTTCTGATGGATGTCTAACAGTCCAGGACCAAGATGACTGGGCTGGGTGGGGCAAATGGTAGTGATGGTACCGGCTCGGCTCATGGAGAAATAGCTCTGGAGGAGGCGATGAGTGGGGGCTGGTCTGCCTCCCATGCAGCTGGTATGACGGGCTCAGGGAGGTTAGGGGGTGGGGAGAGGAGTCAGTCATGGAGGTGAGGCAAGGACTTTTCCACTCCTTTAGGACTGGTCCACACTGAGGTTTGAAGTCATCAGGCACTGCGGTTTCCCTGGATGCATTCAAACAAAAGCAGGAAGACTATGGGGCAGGGACATCACATCTGTGACCAAAGGTAGAAGAAAGGGCTAGCTGTGCCCACAGTCTGGAGAACAATGGCCAACCAGGGGCTCACAGGCTCCTACTGATAGCTAATTCCTTCATTATGGAAAATCCTGTGCCTTGATAATAGATAAATACCGACTGAGCCTGGGTCCCACCTGGGCAGTCCTGACCCAGCATGGGCTGGGGAGAGATGCACACCTTTTCTGTCCATCCTGAGCAGTGTGCACTGTCCTGGAGTTGGAGCAGTTAGATCTGTCATGTGGGTGTTCCCAGTCAGCCCCACTCTGAGGCCTTGCGTAGATGTTCTGATCTTTGCTCCTTCTGAACAAAGAAAACCCTAGCTGTGTGTGTGTGTGTGGGGGGGTGGGGAGTCTGTCAGTGCGCACCAGGCCAGGTTGTGGTGAAGTCAGCTGGCTTTAGGGAACAGCCTGCCCATGCTGTTGCCAGGGGAGGCAGCTTTCTGCAGGTGGATGATGCTAGAGAACCGTGCCAGCCTGCTGGAACCTAGTGTCAGAATGAGGGGCATAGAGTTCGGGTCAGGGGGAGGAGGGCCCAGCCTGTGGGAACCTTTGGAGGCAGGGAGGGAGGCCCCACACCAGGGTGAGGGGAACCCAGGATTCTCTTCTTACAAGGTCACATTCCTCAGCAAAGACTTAATCCCATCCTGGCTCTGCCTCCATGCCCTCTCCAGCACTGCAGACCAAGAGGGCTCCTCTGCCTTTGCACAGACACTCCCTCCACAGTCTGGTGTGCCCTGGGTGGGACATTTCGGGTGGTGTTCCCTCTCCATCACCAAGAGTCAGAGAGCAGACTCAGTGATGGGTTGGGTTCCTCTGGGAGAAGGCTCCATTGAGTGTGTTTCCCTGTGTGTGCAGCCGAGTGTGTGCACCTGTTAGAATATATCTGGGATATGTGCGTGTGTCCCAGGGTATGTATGCACCACTGAGTGAATATTGAGTTTGTGCACCTTTGCAGGGAGGGTTTTGTGTGCCAAGAGTGGCTATGCGGCTGTGTGCTGACTGGTGTGTACATGAACGGAGATGCATGTGCTGGAGAGAATTGACTTGGGGGGGGGGCGGGGAGGCAGCAGAACAGGCCAGCTCCCTCCCTCCCTCTTTTTCCCCTGTCCCTGGCTGGGGAGGACTGGGAACAGAGTGGGGAGGAGCACACTGCCCGTTCCCCTGGCCCAGTACTTGCATGATTGGGCAAGGCCTTCAGCGCTGGAAGGGTTGGTCCTTAGATGGAGGGGCTGAAAGGTACCTATGTGACCTTGGCGGTGAGCTGCAAGCAGACCTTTCCCTGCCGCCTGGCCCATCCCAAAGGAGTTGGGAGCCGGGACCCTGCGCCCCCACGAGGGGCTCTGGGGCAATCCAGGGCCGCATCAATGTTGGATGAGCCCGCGCTGCCTGCGAGCGGCCTCGATACCATCTTCCCTGGTCTCACTTTTAGTGTAACTGGAGAGCCCAGGGACCAGCCCTAACCTGCGACTGGTGATCTTCTCACGAAGGCGC